TACTTATACATAACGTTTTCCTGATTTCCAGCTTGTTGTCCAAATAGCTAGTTGTTCATGTATCCCAGCAACAAGGGAGAAGAGGTAGGTAGTACTTCTTCCTGCAGATGTTACAAAGAGAAAGACTGAGGATAAAGACATTCTAAAAGGCACATGTAGTTTGTAGCACAAGCTTAAAACAGTTACACCCTTCAAAGTCCACTGAAGTCAATGGGTCTAAGAAGGGTGCCACTCTGCTTAGGCTAGCACTGTGAACGACCATCAAAGGCAGCATCTTGCATGTTAACCCACATCTAGATCTGGCACGAGTCCATCTGCAGATTTATGTGCATCCTGGAAATGAGCCTGCCGCCGCAAACAGAAAAGGCATTTATGAATGAGGTACCCTGTTCCAGAAGCTCTGGCGCAAATGAGGGAATAACTCAGGGAAAGAAGACAGCTTGAGTCAGAAAGCAGACACGCACAGCCGGGAAAAGGAGGGGGCAGGGGAGAGTGGGATCCAAGCTCATATTGGTTGTCGATGCTCACATCTTGGCGTCTGGTGCTTGGGAAGATTGGACAGGGGACCAGTTGCTTTGAGGATGAGACTACCATTGCTATGGCAACACACTCATGTGCCACAGTTGCCGTAGCTGCTGGAAGAGAGACCCAATAATCCAGAGGCACCATAAATGCACATGCCTAACAGTTCAGGCCCCAATTCAGCATGATTTCAAGTTCTGGCCTTTGGAGGATGAAACTGGTCTACTATTGGTATTATTATTTTTTTAAAGGTACGGCGCATACCTCGGCTGCAGTCATTGCAGAATAGGCTCGAATGCTATGAGACATCAAGAAAACGGGGCGGCTAGTGCCGAAACCAGGATCTCCAGATGGCTCAGCATGATCCAGGAAGTGGAACATTTCCAGCCTGTTGGGATGAGGTATTGGGGATTTACTATTGGGTAGGTGGAAACTATTGTGATCTCTCTGTTTCAGAACTCAGGACAGAGAGAAGGGAGACTTTCAGTGCACTGGAAATAGGTCAGAAGCATTTTAGTGGATAACACTGCTTGGCCTGTTATGACAATATCGAATATAGATCCTACACGTGAGTTTGGCCGGGTGACTTTCAAGGATATGAATGTAGTCCTTGGAAATGTATACCAATCCATGCATACTCTCAATCTGTGCCCTTCCTAGCTGGTTCATGCCAGATACGAGAGGTTAGCCAGGCTGGTGCACAGGCAGAGCTAGTCCCACTAACAGCCGATAACTGTAAGGCCAGCATCTTTAGGTTCCCTGGATCTCCATAGTTATGGGGCAATCTCTACTACACCATTCCTTAGCAATGAGATTGAGAGGGTGCTAGCAACATTATCACAGGGACTTCTAGATTATGATAACCCCAGAAAGGCAATCAGATCAGTCCACTGCAGCAAAAATGAACAAGGTTTTTGTAGCACCTTAAATGCTACCCAAATTCTATTCCAGCATTCCTGGACCAAGGGGGTCTAGTTCATTAGAGTCTTATGCTGAAGTAAATTCTGTTAGTCTTTAAAAGGCTACAAGACTCCTGTTTAGTCCTGGATGGTAACAATGATCTTAATATCACTCTGGCTTCACACTGATTTTGGACGCAAATTCTCTGGGTTGCTCTGGGGGATGACCTATGCTGGGGGACCGACAGGGAAAGTGTGATCTGTTTGCAACATCTGGAACAGAGAGTTCTTTCTTCTCATTTCTGGACCACTTTGCTTGCTTTTCAACTCTGTGGCTTCTTCCTGAGTCTCTTGGCAGGGCTGTTAAGTACCACACTGTGAAAATTCTGCTTTGGTCATGTAAGTTACAGAAAGAAGCGCTCTAGGACCACTTCTCTGCCTCATGTGGTGAGTAACAGACTAGATAAAATGCTGAAAGACATTGACAGGGGAGGTCTGACTGATCTTGGAGTATGTGGAGCCCTTATTCTGGGTGGGGCTGCCTTTTCCTTGCAGGATCAGATGCAGATGGTGAGGAACTGTAGCGCAGTGGAAGAGGCTGAGCGCTTGGCATGCAAGAAGGTCCCAGGTTCAATCCCTGGCATCTCCAGTTGAAAAAGGACCAGGTAGTAGATGGTGTTGAAGACCTCAACCTGAAACCCTGGAGAGCATCTGCTAGTCTGAGTAGACAATACTGACCTCGATGGACCAATGGTCTAATTCACCATAAGACAGCTTCATTTTGTGGGTGGATTCTGGACCACTGCTCGGAAGCACATTAGGTAAAACTGACTGACCAACTTTAGCATCATTCTCAGAAAAGGATGAACCGGTTAACGTGGTACATATTCGCTTCTGAAGACTTCTCAGAACGTTCACTTCATCCAAAATGAGACAGACCATTTATTAGCAGTAGCAGCTGCCCTTAAGGCATGTGTAATCCTGACCTGGATGGTCCAAGCTAGCCTGATCCCATCATACTTCGGAAGCTAACCATGGTCGGCCCTGGTAAGTGCTTGGATGGGTGTTCACCAAGGAAGTCCAGGATTGCTACGCACAGGCAGGCAACAGCGAAGCACCTCTGAATGTCTCTTGCTTTGAAAATCCCAAGGGGTCACCATAAGTAGGCTGTGACTTGACGACACTTTCCACCACCAATATCTGGTTAAGAGACCTGAACTGGCTACCAGTATGTTTCTAGTACAATTTAGAGCGCTAGCTTTAAGATTAAGACTATTTGCCGAGGTCTTGGAGCTGTGTCACTTGATCCAAGTGTTACACTGACTTTTTATGTAGGAACTGTGGTAATTAAAAAAACCCACAGGGTCAAGGGCCATGAAATGCCAGAAACACAGGGTGAAATGTAAAATTCAGATCTAATAATGAAAAACAGGCCATCCAGTAGCTAAATTAGTTGATGCCTGTAAACTAGCTGGTGCCAGCTTTGCCAAAACACTTAACAGTTATAGTAAGAAATCTCAAGTCCCCTGCAGAGAGCTCCACAATGAAGAACTAACTTTTGAACAGGACTTCAACCTTGCCCATCTTGTGGTATGGTTTGCCATCAAGTCACAGCTGGCTTATGGTGACTCCTGGTGGGGCTTTCAAGGCAAGAGACATTCAGAGGTGGTTGGCCATTGCCTGCCTCCGAGTCACAACCCTGGTATTCCCTGCAGGTCTCCCACCCAAATACTAATCAGGGCTGACCCTGCTTAGCTTCTGAGATCTGATGACATCAGGCTAGCCTAGGCTATCAGGGCATTCACCTTGTTAGCGAAGATCTTTTTTCTTTCAATGAGCCTTGAGATTGGAGGGGAGGCCAGCCTCCTCATTAACAAGGGTCACATACCATTTTATGGTATCTGTCAAGCGATATTTATATTTGCTCAAATGCTTGTTTTGTATTCAAGTTGATATGCTGCCTATGCATATATTTTAAAAATGTACTTTTATTGTATTGTTGCTTATAGTATAGAGTTAGCTGCTCAAAAGGTTCCAGATGTAGCGTTAGGATAGAACCTGGGGAGGGCAGTATTTGCAGAGGAAGAGGGGCCTCAGTGGGGTACTGTACCAGAGTCCACCCTCTGGTTAAGTGCATGGATTCTAATCTGGGAGAACTGGGTTTGATTCCCCACTCCTCCACTTGCAGCTGCTGGATGACCTTGGGCAAGCCATAGTTCTATCTGGGGTGTTCTTGAAGAGTAGTTTCTGTCAGAGCTCTCTCAGCCCCACCTACCTCCCAGGGTGTCTGTTGTGGGGAGGGGAAGGAGTTTATAAGATGCTCTGAGACTCTGAGTGAAGGGCAGGGTATAAATCCAATCTCTTCTTCTTCTCCTCCTCCAGGGAACTGATTTCTGCAGTCTGGAGATTAGCTGTCATTCTGGAAGGATGAAAGTGACACACTACCACCACAAGAGGTGCACCTGCCTGTCCAGGTTGGTTTCTGTAAGTATCACTTGCCTTAGGGACCCCCTAACACATACACTTTGCGATAAGTGTTGGAAGTACCAGAGAGAAGGAGAATACATTTGCATACACAAATATGAGGAAGCACCCAGAGAAATCAGATCTGACATGAGTCCACACACAGACAGGTCAGAATGATTGTTGATATGGGGAGAAAATGCCCTATGTAGCAGAAAAGCACACGGAGACGGCAGACTGTCAAAAGCTCCAGCCCCTAAACAATTTACCTGCAGCCATGTTCTAAATGTGGAGAAGCCATCATCTTTGTTGGAGGGGCTCAGACACTCAAGGTTAGTGTAGTGTGTGTGTGGGGGGGGTACATGTTGCCATGTTCCCAAACACGGAGGGAGAAAACACCCTTACTGGAGGGACTCTGGTTTGGGGGCACTCCTAGGGAACCCGATTCCCTGTTCTCAAATACTGGAGGGGACTCAATGCCTTTGCCAGAGGGCCTCAGGTACACAGGGCTATCTGGATAGGGATGGAGGCTCCTGAAGTTCCTAGTGCCATGTTCCCAAATGTACGGGTTGGGGGGATGCCTTAACTGCGTGGACTCGAGGGGACCAGTGGCCATGTTCCCAGGATCGCCAGACCCAGGTGGTGGCTGGAGATCTCCCAGAATTACAACTGGTCTCCAAGTTACAGAGATTAGTTCTCCCTGGAGAAAATTGTTGTTCTCTCCCCAAACCCTGTCCTCCTCAGGTTCCACCCGCCCCCAAATCTCCAGGGATTTCCCCATATTTGGGAACATGTAGGGTTCCCACTATTTGTCCCCAAATATTGGGAGAACGGATGTGTCTGCTGGAGGGAGACAGGGCTGCGGAGGGGGGCGCTCCTGTTGCCAGGGCAACCTTGGGTAACAGGGCCTGCTCTCTACCTGAGCCGCCAACCCTGCGGGGCGCCCGTTCGGCCTGCAGGGCATGCCAAGGCCAGGCGCGCTGCTGGTGCGGAGGGTCCCTCTTGGTTGCCAAGGCGACCCGCCGTGCGCGGGCCCCCTGGAGGCCTGGCGGGAGCCGTTTCCCCGGCTCCGGGGCGGCACCCTGGCTGGCTGGCTCCCTCCCCGGGTTCACTTACATGCCCAGGTCGCTGTAGGTGTTGTAGAACTCCATGTGGTTGCAGGCCTGGATCCAGCCCACCACCCAGGTGTGCCGGCGCGGGATGGGCGGCATGAGGACGCGGGCGGCGGCGCGGAAGTAGGGCGTGCGGTAGCGCAAGACGATGGGCGACGTCTCCTCGATGGCGGTGGCGCCGGGCTCGATGGAGGCCGACACGTCGTAGACCACGATGTTCTCCCTGCGCACCCGCGCCTTGCACGCCACGCTCTGCAGGCAGCCCATGGCCCCTAGCCGCCCCGGCCGGGACCCCGCATCCGGACGGCCCCGGGATCAGCCAGCACCCCGCTGCCGCCGCCGCCGCCACCGCCCCGGCTCCCGCTCATAGCAGCATCCGCAGGGCAAAGGCACAGCCCGGGCGGAGCGCGCTACCTGCTCGCGGCAGCCCAGCCCGCCGCTCCCTCGCCCGCTTTGCGGCCATCCATCCGACCTCTCCGGGCAGCCTCTCCACGAATAAATGCAGCAGGGCGCTCGGGGGAAGGATCGCGCGGGGCACGTGCGGATCCCTCCCTCCTCCCTGCCTCCTCCGCCAAGGGAGCGGGAGGGGAGGGGAGGGCAAGGAAGAGGCTGCCGGGCGAGAGTCTTTCGGAGACACGTGTGAGGGAGGGTGTCACGTGAAGGGCAGGCACCGCGGAGGAGGAAGTGGGGGAGGCGATGGCAGCGCGGGACTCCCCTGGCAGGCTCGCTTGCCTTGGGAAAAGGGGTTGCCGGGAAAAAAATGTGGAAGAAAGGAGATTTGATGCGTTGTTTTCTGCTTTGCACTTGCCGGTTGGCGCAGGCTGCCGCATTTCAGCGGACATGGGACCTTAAAATGACTTAAGTCTGTGTTGGTGAAATGACTCTCTTTCCCAGCATTTTAAAAAATATTATTATTGTTATATTGCCTTCAGTTCTTCCTGTACAGCAGTGATGATGTATTGTCAATATTTCATTTCAAATTAGTGGGCTTTCAAGAGCAACTTCATTTCTGTTCCTTGGTTGGTTTCATTTATTTCTTGTTCTTCCTGTACTTCGAGTGACTGCTGTTCCTTATTTCATCTAGCTCTATTGCTGTGAAAAAGTTGTTTCATGATAAAAGGTTGCTGATCTGCTAGTCGCTCTTCAGAGATGGGAGAATCTGGATGCTTCCCCCCCCACACACACACAATATTTCAGTCATTTCAAATATCCACACTGTTCAGACCTTGAATCAAAATAACATTGCATGATGATTCTGTTTTGTTATCGAGACCATTTCTTCTGCCATTGCTGGTTTTCCAGTAGCTGATCAGGTCCCTGCTCTGGTTGATTTATAGAAGATCTTGGTTCCAGTAGCACATCAGGCCTCTGCTCTGGTTGCTCAGCAGAAGAGACTGTGTCCTGTAGCCCATTTTTTGCCAAAGATCCAGGAACACCAATCTCTGACATGGTCCTAGTAAACCCAGGTGATGAATGAACTTGTATAGACTTCGAATTCAATGTTCTCACCATATCGAATGGCAGTTTGGGATGCATTTAGTCATGTCTCCTTAGCTCAGCCCTGTCTACCATGGGAGACCCTGCCAGCAGCTATGCTGCTGATAGCATAGCCCTCTGCTTCTCTGGAGCACACAAGCCCCACCCGCATGGCAAGCTAGCATGGGGGGTGGTGGAGGAGGAATTTGCAGAGATACATCTGCAATTCCCAAGAACATGGATAGATCTAAAATTGCAGAACAGCATCTACCAGTCAAATATCTGACTGTGACATTTTGTAATAATAATAAAAGAGTTCCAGCTGTGTTGCATTGGAATCTTTGCAAGAAGTGTGGCTTTCCATCAGCCAGAAATTCATGGGAGCACAAACTAGACAAGATCTTGAAGAATGATGAAGCAAAGATTCTTTGGGACTTCTGATTGCAAACAGATAAACACCTGGAGCATAACACCCCTGATATCACAAGTGTAGACAAAATGAGAAATGGGGTTTGGATCATTGACATTGCAATCCCAAGAGACAGCAGAGTAGAAAAGAAAGAACAGGAGAAGACCATAAAATACCACGACCTACGAATAGAGTTAGAGTGTCTCAGGGACAAGAAGGTTACTATTGTGCCAGTTCTCATTGGAGCCCTTGGAGCAGTGCCTAGAAGTCTCAGGGAAACACCTGGACATTCTAGGCATTGAGCAAAGAACACCAGCTCAACTCCAGAAGACAGTGTGGCTTGGAACAGCAAGAATCCTCTGAAGATACATCTGCAATTCCCAAGAAGAAGAAGAAGAGATTGGATTTATACCCCGCCCTTCACAACCTAAAGGTGTCTCAGAGCGGCTTACAAACTCCTTTCCCTTCCCCTCCCCACAACAGACACCCTGTGAGGTGGGTGGGGCTGAGAGAGCTCTTCACAGAGACTGCTCGTTTTCAAGAACAGCCCTTATCAGAACTGTGGCTTGCCCAAGGTCATCCAGCCAGGTGCAAGTGGAGGAGTGGGGAATCAAACCCGGTTCTCCCAGATTAGAGTCCACGCACTTAACCACTACACCAAACTGGCTCTTGAACTTGTCTAGATCTCGAACTGCAGAACACCATCTACCAGTCAAATATCTGATTGTGACAAGTTATCATAATCATCATAATGGCTTCTTTTTATGTAAATTGCATATAGTTTTGGGAAGGGTCAGCAACTCTGTCTGAAAACCAGACAGACTTTATGGGCAGACGGTGCCAATTCACAGTCTAACAAGGCAATCCTATTCAGAACAGCTAGATAGCAGTCCAGTAGCACCTTAAGAGACCAGCAGGATTTCCAGGATATGAGCCTCTGAGAGCCAGTTTGGTATAGAGAGCAGTGTTCCCTCTCAGCTGAGTTAGTGTGAGCTAACTCACAGGGTTTTTTTAGCCTCCTGCTCACACATTTTTGTCTTAGCTCAGGAAGGATGGCTCCAGAGCAAAGTAATTTATGCGGTAGCTGATTCGCTCACTCACAATTTTAATGCCAGTGGCTCACAAAGTAGAATTTATTGCTCACTAGGCTCCACAGCTTAGAGGGAGCATTGGTAGAGAGCCAGTTTAGTGTAGTGGTTAAGAGCAGCAGACTAATCTGGGGGACTGGGTTTGATTCCCCACTCTTCCACATGCAGCCAGCTGGGTGACCTTGGGTCAGTCACAGTTATCTTAATGCTCTCTCAGCCCCACCTACCTCACAGGGTGCCTGTGGTGGGGGAAGGAGGGGAAGGCGATTGTAAGCCATCCTGAGACTCCAAGTGAAGGGTGGGGTATAAATCCAACTCCTCCTCCTCCTCCTCCTTAGCTCCCTTTGTCAGATACGAGTTGGAATGGAGTACTGAATTTCAACTCATATCTGAGGAAGGGAGCATCAACTCTCAAAAGCGTATACCCTGAAAATCCTGTTAGTCTCTAAGGTCCTACAGAACCCATATCTAGCTGTTCTACTGCAGACAAACATGGCTACACTCTGAAACTATCCTGTTCAGAGTTACTCTAATCCAGGGGTCTTTTTGTAGAAAAAGCCCAGCAGGAACTCATCAGCATATTAGGCCACACCCCTGACAGCACAGCGCATTAGCACATTAGGCCGCACCCCCATGTTACCAGAAGTGTGGTCATCCAGCCACACCCACCTTTTGCTTCTTATTCTGTTTACCTTGTTTGTTGTCAAAACCCAGGGCTTTTTTTGTAGCAGGAACTTCTTTGCATGTTAGGCCACACACCCCTAATGTAGCCAATCCTAATGAGTTCCTGCTGTTGCGTGTGGCCTATTATGCTAATGAGTTCCTGCTGGGCGTGTCAAAACCCAGGGCTTTTTTGTAGCAGGAACTCCTTTGCATGTTAGGCCACACACCCCTAATGTAGCCAATCCTAATGAGTTCCTGCTGTTGGGTGTGGCCTATTATGCTAATGAGTTCCTGCTGGGCATGGCCAACTCGGGAGCCAGCCAGAACTCCGTTCCTGCGCGTTCCTGCCCAAAAATAGCCCTGCTCTAATCTAGTCTGATTCGAATGGCTTTAGACTGGACTAACTGCATAGTATTGCAATGTAAATTGCTTTGAATTCAATGGCTTTGCCCTGGAATAACCCTGCATAGCATTGCATTGCATTGATTTCAGAGGGCCTACAGTGGAGGAAATGGCCTTAGGATGGCATAACTGATAGGATCGGCACATTTTGATGGTATGTCTGTGTGCACGTGTTCCTGTGCAGATGGTAGTGTGATCTTGGACTCTGATGGCACAGTCTGTCCTTCATGACAAACGGGAGAGTAATGTATCCTAATGGGCATTAGACACAGCCTCCCTGGGCTTTAGTGTCAGGAAATGGTTTTGTTTGTGTGTCCATCCAGGTTCGGAAGACCTTCCTGCCTCTCTGAAGGGAGGGAGCAGATGGGGATCTGTGTTAACAGGAAGCACAATTTTAGATTCTGGCACCATCTGAGAGTGAAGCAGACAGACACTGCGGAAGCACTGGGGGTGCAGGATCTCTCTGGGATAATACAGTTGTTGTTGTTGTGCCCCCGCCTGCGCTGTGCCCATATATTGGTAAAGAAAACAAATGCTTTAGAAATGCCATAAACCTCCAATGCTCCAAAGGGAACTGATCTGTGTAAGATTGCTGGTCCCTGGAACTCATTCCAATCCGCTCTTGTTGAAGCTGAGTTCCTGTTCTTTGAGACCAATTTTTGTTCACTTTCACCTCAGGGTATGGCATGCCTTTTGGCAGTTTTTTCGTTTGCATTGTTTTCTGTAATCTTGGTCCTGTTGCATTTTTAATGTGATGTTTTACACTGTTTGGTTTTTTAAAAAAAACTCTGTTGTATGCCTTGCATCTCAGTGAGAAAAGGGGACCGTACATGAAATATATCAGTAAGGTTTAACTTGATGTCAGCTGTGGTTTTTTTAGAAGGCAGATACACTGTCTACGGCTTTCATGGCCGGAGTTCATTAGTTGTTGTCGATTTTCCAGGTTGTATGGCCGTGGTCTTGGACCAAGACCATGGTCATACAGCCTGGAAAATCTACAACTAAAGCCCATATACTGCCCACTTTTGCCTCTTTGGTACAGGAGAAATTGAAGATCTTACTTACCGCTTTTTAAATGTCCTGTTCATATTGGATAGGAATACATTTCTCTCCCAGATATTGATGCATAAAGACAGTGACTCTGACCTTCTAAAGCTAGACTTTGGATTGCACAAGAAGTATTAGACAGTAACAACTCAATTGGCAGACTATACTTTAACACTGTCAAA